CTACTTAGGCAATATACTTGTGTCAGGGTAAATAAAATGCTTATGCAAACTCTTTCACAACAGCACTAAAAACTAATTTGTTCATGATTCTTTGGAATCAACCTTAAACCATTTTCCTTCTAGCTTGCCTATAATAAATAATTCAAGCTTCAAAGCCAGAGCCATGGGGGAAATTATGAGATGTGTTAGATCAGATGAGGTGCAGAGGTGAGAAAAAAGATGAAATGAACTTTCTCCTTTCTTTACGTCAACATGTTCTGAGCACTTATAAGAAATAAGGATAAACAAGAGTGGAATGCAGAGCATGCGTTGACATCTGGTTCACCTTCAAACCAGGCTTTTGACAGTATGCCATTTCCTCGATCAAATTAATCCTGTTTTTCCCATTTTGTAATGTTTTCTTACTTTCCTCCCAACAAATGGAGGCAAGCAGCAAAAGATGAACAGAAAAAGTATTTCAATGTAGGGTGATTACATGCTTCTTCTGTAAGTTGAAAATATTTGAGGAGCAAATATTTGCAACTTGTAATTTGAAAAAGAGAATTTATCCAAAAGAGCAACTTCCACCCCCTTCTCCATAGTCTAACGCTCTAGAAACTGCAGAAAAGTCTAATATTAATTATTAAACTTGACAACTGCATTTTCACTTCTAGCCGCTTTGAGCTAACTCCTTTATTAGCTCAGAGGTTCCCAAAGCAAGCTATTTTTGAAGTGCAGGGCAACTGCAAAAGCAGCTATGATGGTGACAGTGGTATTCTAGTCTTGTCAAAAGTCCATCTGTTAAGGCTGTCCTTGAATGTGCCTTATATTGGTTTTAAACTGTGGCTAAAGTAAGAACCCTGTACACAGTCCAAGAAGTTGTACTTAGCATCTTTCAGAAAATCAGAGTCAGGTAGGTAAGACTGTACTTCTGGAGCTATAATCCAAAATATCTGTAATGCAGAGCTTGGGAAAGATTATTCTTGAACATGAATGTAATTCCAGAAAGTCTCCATTGAGGATTTTTAGTATGAATTGAGACTATCTGTGTACAATTGAAGCAAGAAATGGGTATATAGGCAGTCCTCAGTTAATGACAGTAATAGGGATTGGAATTTTTTATCACTAAGCAATGTGATTGTAAAGTGTGATGACACATGACTGTTACTGAGCGAGGTTCTGGGTTGTTAAATGAGTTCCAGATGCCTTGGAAGCAGGCCAGCAGGCAGGCAGGTAAGCTAGAATGCATGAGTGCAAACAGAGGTGGCTGGTACCAGGCAAGAAGGGGTGTGAGCAACTTATTGTAATGACTGCAACCTTCCCTGTTGGCTTCCCCATTGACTTTGCTTGTGTGAATCTGGTAGGGAAAGTTGCAAAAGTCATATCACTATGGGACACTGCAACCAACATAAGCCTGAGCCTGTTGCCAAGCGCCCAAATTGCGTAAGAGTGTTGTGACAGCCAAACCTTTGAGGGCCAGTCATAAGTCTCCTTTTTCAGTGCTTAGACCAGTCGCTGAACAAATGGTCGATATTAAGGGCACATACATATTTTTAACAGAAATTGATTAATTTTTTTAGAATGCTATAGTTCTGCTGAGGTTTCTGATTGCTTTAAGTCACCGAGAACAACTATGGAGACAGCACAGATGATAACAAGTTTTTTAAACAAGAATCCAGAATACATAATACCCTGTAAATACCTAACACCCTGTTTTCAACTGAAGGCATTCAACGCATTCACACAAATGCATTTTTTAAAATGCAGTGGGCTCCAAAAAATGCACTAGACTCCTTGACCAGGAATTTCTGAGATGAAAGATGATTATTAGGACTCTGACCTAAAATGCCAATGCTAAGATTACTTCAATGTACTGGGAAAGGTCTCCTTTCTTGAGAATAACTATATTTAAGCAGATATCTGATGAATGTATGACAACCATCTAACCAGCCTGCAGATTTAAGAATCCACATGTAGGCTGAGAAGATGCCTGCTCACACATACACATAACAATGTACATGTTGATTGAGGAGAGGAGGTCAAACATGACATTAACTTCATTGACCAATACTCCTTCCATATTTAGTTTTTTTATATATAAACCAAGCAAATGATCACTGACAAATGTGGAAGTAGCTCTTCACAAAAAGTTACCTCAGGGCTTGAAATTTTAACTCTACTTTTGCGGCTGAGACAAATGTTCGGAATTGCATTAAGAGTTAGAAAATTTACCCAAAGGTATGACACTTTAAAAATATTTTCACTGATTTCTATCATAAAACACATTCAAATCATAAATATTCAGCATTAAACCTATCAATGAATATTATGGTCCATTCTTAGCAACCTGTAAACCATGAATACTTAAACTTTGGAAATGAAGCAGTTCAAATGACACTACTGTACAGTGCTATTTTTTTTTTAAGAATCAGCCACCAGATGGCAGACTAAACTCTTCCACTTGCTTCCTTTACAGTTTATTTGCCCCAACCAAAAACATAAATGACTTCAAGAAAATAAAAAACAAGAGGCAGAACATAGTTCAAAGCTGCCCTTCAGCCACTAAATGCACATAGTGATTACAGTTCTTCTCTGCTGACTGTCCCAATGGCAGTTCTCGAATCTAAAAGACTTGAAGTACCAAATTCAACCAAGTCTCCATAAATCCAGATTCTTAATCAGGCCTTCTTAGTATAATAAGGAGTAGTATATCTGGGAAGAAGGGATTCATATGTTCTGGGGACAGGTTGTTCCACTGATTAATTGTTCTAACTGTCAGGAAATTTCTCCTTAGTTCTAGGTTGCTTCTCTCTTTGATCAGTTTCCATCTGTTGCTTCTTGTCCTGCCTTCAGGCGCTTTGGAGAATAGCTTGACTCCCTCTTCTTTGTGGCAGCCCCTGAGATATTGGAACACCGCTATCGTGTCACTCCTCGTCCTTCTCTTCATTAAACTAGACATACCCAATTCCAGCAACCGTTCCTTATATGTTTTAGCATCCAGTCCCCTAATCACCTTTGATGCTCTTGATATTTTATTTGTTTTTATCTATTTTACAAACAGCCTACCTACACATCCTGGAGTAATAAAAGGATAACAAGAGGATAGAAATTCAGACAAAGAGAAATTTGACTCAGGAATTCTTCAAAAAATTAAATCCATCTTCCCCAGTCTCCTGCTCCCCATTATCTTAAACTTCAATCTCCACTTTCTGGAAAGAATGTAGCCAGGGAAGCCTGCTCTACCTATTTCTAGATTTTAATCATGAAAATAAACATTTTTTAACTTGAGAATTTCTGAAAATAAGGAGAGTCCTCAATTTAAGACTGCTCACTTAGAGGCCATTCAAAGTTACAATGGATCCCTCAAAAGGAGCTTAAGATCCAATTTCAAAGATCCGATGGCTGCAAACACCCCGTCATGTGATCGCATTTTGGGTGCTTAGCAACCAGCTCACCTTTACAGTCGTTTGTAACATCCTGCGGTTGCATGACTATGATTTTTGACATTTTTTGCTGGATTTCAGTAGTCCTAGTTTCCAGCAAAAATCATCCAATGAATAAAACAGATTCACTTAACGATCTCCATGTTCACTTAACAACTACTGTTTTCACTTAACGACTGCTGCATTCGCTTAACAACTATCACAAAAAAGTTGTAAAACCCATTTAATGACCACAATACTTAATTGCAGGCTCAATTATTGTTGTAAGTTAAGGACTACATGTAACGTATTCTAACATATTAGACATATTAATAAATACTTACATTCTATTAATATTTTATTATTTTCTGGGAAATCCAAAAAAATGAAACTAGACATAAAATTTGTACCATCAACAACTGCCTTGCATCACTTATAAAATGGATTTGGAAGCACGTCAAAATGATCCTAAGAAACACTTTGTGAAGGCATGGACTATATTTTATTGACCAGAATAGTTTTAATTCAGCAGTTGTCGATCAATGCCTACGGTTTATCATAATCTGTACTCTTAGCCAGCAGGGATTCAAGGGCTGAACTACAGTAATTTATTCAAAACAATTGTATGAGATGACAATTACCAAAATCATACAATTGTGGTATCATAGTCAATACAGTAAAAATGCTTTCTACTTTCATTATTCAACCATTATTCTTACTTTCCCATTTTTGATTCTCATACATTATTCAACTGTTTGCCCCAAAGTCGCAAGATTGGCCATTTTATTACTTTAGATAACCTTCTATGCACCAGGCAATCTGTTTCCTTCTGTGTAACCCATAACAAAATGCAAAGCACCAAAAGTTGTTTGTATAAGATAACTGATAACAATACAACTATATCACTCAAAGTCAGCTTAAACCAGTTTAATGAAATACATGGAGCAGAAATATAGGCATTTACGGCAGTAATGCAATTTAAGTCCTAGCAAAAAAGGTTATATAGAAGCATTTTTGATTATGTATGTTGGGGGCACTGTTTATACTATTCTAGTCACTAAATCTCAAAAAGAATATTACGGAATTGGAGGAGATATAGAAAAGGGCACCTCACATCATTATGGCTAAATCAGCTCTTGCTATAAAAACAAATGGGGCACAAGTGAAGCATGTGAAATTATACGGAAGGTTTAGGACAAATTAAATCAATCAAACATCTTCCTACAGAGTACAGCAGACACGTGGAATATGTTTCTGTAAGATTTCCTGGGACCAAAAAGGGGGCAAGACAAATGTATACAGAATAAGGCTATGAATATATTATCTCCAGGGATAAAGGCAATAAGCCTCTTGATATTAATTGCTAGAAAATATGAATGGAAGGGAAGTAGCACACTTATGTCCTGTTTGTGGATTTTCTATGTGCACCTGGATAGGAGCCAGAAAATGGATTAGGTAGGTCTTTGCTTCTTTCTATATAATATTCCCCATGTACATAAAAGCTCCTTCTCTGAGAAACAGCAGGCAAGTCAACATGTGATCCATTCAATAAACACATGAAAACATTTTTAAAAGAAAAAAAATTGTTCAGTTGCTTACTGATGTAAAAGCAAGTAGCTCCTCTTCTGTGAGTTTATGGACAGGATTGTTTTTCTGAAAGTCTATACTGTTAAAAAAAAAAAAGAACACATTTTTATTCATGTAGCTTTCTGAAATTCCAGACATTCAGCTCTATTCAGCTAAGCATTTGGGAAAGAACATGTCTGTGTGTGTTTGTGTGTGTGCGTGCTAGTACTAAGCTTGCAATCCTTACAGATGGTTAACTAGAGACTCAAACTAGAGCAGGGGTAGGCAATCTTGGCTCTTTTATGACTCGTGGACTTCAACTCCCAGAATTCCTGAGCCAGCCACGCTGAGAGGAAAGGGAGAGATTTCCAAGCTGAGCCATGCTGGCTCAGGAATTCTTGGAGTTGAAGTCCACGAGTCATAAAAGAGCCAAGGTTGCCTACCCCTGAACTAGAGGCTATAACAAAGCTACCAAAACTAATTTATTTGTTTAGTTTTGTTCCTGCTATCTTGCCTTTCCTACAGAAATTCAAGGTGGTATAGATAGCACTCCCATTTTTTCCACATCAAACACAAAAGTCATCCAGTAAAACATCCACAGAGAAGATAGCTTTGAACCTAGGTTCCATTGCTCTTACCACTTAGTAACTTGTGCACAAGACTATATTGACAAAATATGTGCCAACTCTCAAAATATCATCTTCTGCACATGATTGTTAAAGAGCCGAACCTCCTATTTGTCTCTTCAAAAATAGGTCATTATTCCTTGTTCCAGTCATTCTGGATTCAGAGCAGCATCTAACGTAAGTTAATGTTTTCAGTTCCTCCCACATCCGATGGCTTCATCATCAGCTTCTTCCGTTAAACCACACACATGGACGTACCCAACATTTTTATATTACTTATATCACATATAATTTAAGAGATTTTAGAGAATTCAAAAGCTAATACACTGTCTGTGCTTGCTCAGTAGAGATATTACTTTGATGTGTGTTTTAGCCTTTTCTTAAAATCAGCCTGACTACCTTTGCTTTTTTGCTATAACCGGGCAGTGACAATGATGGAACCAAGTTTATCATCTTACCAAATTCCAAGGATTACAGCAAGTTCTTCTGCACAGAGGTCAGGCATCTGGTTCTGATGAGATTCTTCAAACTTTATTTCATTTAGTATGGTGTCATCATCTAAAGTATAATTCTGTGGGGGAAAATACACAAGTGATAAATTACATCTAAAGTTGTTCATCTGTTTGGAAGTTGCAGTAATAACATAAAAAATATCTTGAACAGCAGCATTTGATTTTAGCTTTGCCAAGAACATAAATAGAGGAGAACTGATTCGATATCTCTTCCTAAGAGAACCGATCGTGTTCTCGTTGACACAACTTCTACTAAATTCGTTCTTGATCCTTACGACTGTCTTGTGGTCCCGACACCGACTTCTTATTTTTCAAGGGACTTCTTTGTCTTACCAACCCTTTATATGAGGTCAATCACCAGAAGTTTAATATGAAGTCTTTAGGAGAGTTTTCTTGAAAACTTATGAAGAGTTTCTCTCAAGAAAGATCCTATTGCCACAAATAAACTTTATTGGAAGGCCCTTTACTACATTTTTGTCCTTTGTAATATATATCCTTCTCTCCTTTCAATACATAGCAACTGTGTGTACAATAATTATTGGAAATTCAGCAGGGGATAGATAGGATTTTTCTTTCCACTTGTGGCCGTGATGAACACAGTTCCTCTGAAGCTGAATTCTGTATAGAAAGGAAATCTTGACTGGGGTCTTATTTGAATGGAGGTTGGTTTAAGGTGCCTGATACATGTATATTATTGTTGATTTAACTGTCCATTTTAATGAAATGTAAGTCACTTAGAACAGTGGTTCTCAACCTGTGGGTCGGGACCCCATTTGGGGTCGATCGACCATTTCATGGGGGTCGCCAAGCAAGGTTGTCCGCCATTTTTTTTGTCCGCCATTTTTCCCCCCTTTTCCGGCGGGTGCCTTACGTCCCTTGGGCTGGGCCAGCTGGTGGTCGGCCTGCTCCGTCTCTGCCGCTTGCCAGCTACGCCTCGGCCGGCGGAGGGGGCGGAACCACACATGCGCAGCACTCCTGGGCAGGGAAAGTCCTCAACTTACGACCGGTTGGGTAGTCCTCGACTTACGACCGGTTTAGTCCTCGATTTACGACCGGTTTAGTCCTCGACTTACAACTGGTTTAGTCCTCGACTTACGACCGGTTGGGGTCGCGGCATTAAAAAGGTTGAGAACTACTGACTTAGAAGGTGAGGGGACATAGAAACAGATGCAAACAAATTCATACTTATTTCCATGTGCAGAACAGACTTAATCTCATAGGCAATTAAATAGTAGTTAATTAAAGGATGGGGAAAACAAAACTGTACTTGAAGGTGATATCTACTCAGAAAACAAATGACAACCCACACAAAGGCAGAGCCTTCCAAAAGATAGTATTTTTGTTTCATTTCAATACCTTAGTTAAATCTTCCAGTGGAGTAGGTGCTGGACTAAGTTCTCGGTAAGGAAGGAGGATGTTATCTTTCCTCTGAACAGCTAGTATCAGTTGGGCTACATATTTTTCCTGAAATCTTGTTCTTTTTCCCAGAGCACCTGCAAAAAACCATTAGACCAAAACAGAAATTCATCGTGAGTACAGAATATATGAATTTGAGGTATGCCTTTTATGCACGCAAAATGATATTGGTATTCTCTGATATTAGGCTTGTGATCAAATCATTTAATTTTTTTCCAACTTATTAAAGACAATAATGCATGTCTTAATTTTTAGACACTTTAACTGCTACCAGAAACTTACTTTATAAGATAATAACTGGGCTGAAAATAACTTAAAAATTTTGCGTTCCAGAATATCGATGATGATGATAATATAATAAATCATAAAATCTGGTATAAAGTATATTATAAAGTATATGTGCTCTGTATTTCATGATTTAACCAGCATGGTTAAGTAAAATAATTGAAGATTAAAGGCATATACAAAATTTTATGTTTTTAAGAAGAAATGCCCAGTATTAATGGAGGTGTGTGTATGTATATGTATATCCATATATAAGTACAAATGTTACAGAGATATAGAAATTTTAAATTGTATTTAATAATACAGGGTCGTAAAAAGGGAGAGTTTTTTTAATGCATCTGTAAAGATGAAGGTAATTCTTAGGAAACACTTTGTTAATATAACTAGTATAAATGGAACCAGGTTTCAATAATTATGAAAGTCAGTTTGTTGCAGTGGTTAAGGTACCAGGCTAGAAACCAGGAGACTGTGAATTCTAGTCTCTCCTTAGATACAAAGCCAACTGAGCCAGTTACTCTCTCTCAGCCTAGGAAGGAAGCAGTGGCAAAACACTGTTGCTGTTGTGTCAATTTTTCAGTCACCTTTCCCCACGCAATGATAACAGTTCATCAGGAAAAAAAATGTACTTTAGTTTTCAATAATCTACTGAACTGAGTCTGAAAACTAATAAAAAAATATTGTATTCCTATACAGTGCTTCAATTTATTAGCCTTTAAAGATAAAAAAAATATTTGATAAGCTTGAATTGCAGGCAGAGTTATGGCAACGTGGCCCAGTAAAAAACTCCATAGTTTAAGTTTGGATTGGGCAACCCATTGCTTCCTTCCACTGGAGTCTATTATGCACAGAGAAGCATCCGTGGAGTCAGTCTCTCCCTGCTTTGTCTCCAGAGATATAGCATGCCAGGAGTAAGCAGGTTAGTACCAGTATGGCAACTTTTTGCTGGAGAACACCCTATAGCTGCTTTTCTGGTGCCCAGTTGACCATCTTTTGACCCTAGATTGTCTGTTCAGGATTGTGATTGCTACTACATTTTTGTGTCTTAAAGCAGATTTAGTAACAGTATGGTGTTGATTTTATCACGTTATCTGTTTCCCAGATATCTGCAGTTTTATATTCTTGTCCTCTTCCAGTTCCAATTCTTGAACTGATCTGAAAATTAGTGATTAACTTAAAGTCTTTGGTTTTTAAAAAAAAAACAAACCACAAAGATATAGGTCTAATTGGTTTAAGATTGCCAGGGATCAAAATTTTAAAAAAAACCACAAAAGGCAAAATGTGAGATAAAATGGGCTGACTTTTGTGTAAATGCTGCTGTTGCTTGCAAGATTTATTTAATTCATTCAAATCAAAAAGCTGTGAAGCAATTTGCTCAGGCTGAAATAGGGATAAAAAGCTGAACATGTTCGCTTTCAAATCCCGATGAGCTAAATTTCAGACCTCTTTGCACACTCAGCTGCTAGGATTCTTCCGAGAATGCTCAGCAATGAAGCTATTTTAGCACGCTCGGTCTTGGGAACTTACAAACAACAGCAACAGATTATATCTTGGTCCCAAGCCAGAGTTCCCCAAAATACTGATAGCAACTGGAAAGAACACCAAGTTTGGCAATTCAACTTCAAATAAGGAAAGAAAAAATTGCTTAGTGGGGAGCAAAGCATATAAAATAATA